GGCGCCCCGGCCCGGCCGGGACCCGCCGGCACTTAAGTATAAGTTAATCTATATTAGGCTGTAACTTTTGTATTAGCTTTCTGCAAACTAAAATATATTAGCTTAGTTATACATAATGTAATACGTGTCAGACAGTATCGTATAGTATGTATGATATGCTGATACATACATCCTATACTATACAGCATAGAACACGTAGTATATATATTAACTTACATCTATATAAACTTAATTTCTATGCTCCGTACTGTTCTCTAGATTGAATTTTGAATAAGAAAATTCACAGGAACGTACATCAGTGTGTATAGTGTATTGTGTTTCGTGCATTGTCTATTAGCTTACATATATCAACTTAATTTCGAGGCTCAGAACTATTCTCTAGATTGAATTTTGAATGATACAACTTACCAGAACGTAAGGCAATGTATATTGTATATTAAGATGCATATTAATTTTGATGCACAGTAGTAGTCTCTGGATTGCACTTTGATAAAACGTATTAGAATGGAAGTTAAAATACGTATCCTGCACTGTATGTTACGTTGTATGTATCACATCATCTGTCATAATTATATACTAACTTGCAGAAAGGTAGAAAGCATTCAACTGCGATTGTTTTATAACTATATATGTTCTCTATATTATATGTATGCAATATATAAAGCATATGTTTACAGCATATTATGTATTTGTATTATGTATTTGCTTGTGTGTAAATATATATATTTTATATATACATATATATGTTCCCCTTCCACCCCCACCCCTTATCATGCCTTCCAGTCTCTGACCGCGCAGCTGGGCAGATAAGAAGTGCTGCCCCGAGCCTCTGCTGCGGCATTGCCTGGAAGAGGGCCTGCGAACTGGCGTCCTTTGCCCGGTCCTTCTCAGGAGGAAACCTTCGCGCACGTCACGTAGCATCACAAGTTTACAGCTCTTTCATTTCCTGGGACAAGTGCATGTGTCCTAATGTAATGGAAGAAAAGTGCTGAGTGGTTTAAAACTAGTATTTCTCTTTAGACTGTTCCTGTTTTCTTTGTTTCTATTTAGTGAGGCAGCGAGTTCTTCAGAGACAGACTCATGAGCTGGATTTGGGAGAAAAGAGGAAATTGAAGTTGCTTGTCACAGAGCCTGAAACAGCAGTGGCCACTGAAAAGGAGGCATCTGAGGAAAAATTAGTTCCTACAAAGGTGAACAGAAAATGTAATCCTAACCAGAGCTTTGAAATATTGGTGAGAGTGTCGAATCATTCACGGATGTTTTTCTTTAAATTTATTTTAGGATCTTGGTGCCGCGAGCAAACTTCAAAAACAAGGTGAAGTGTTACCCGTCACTCTGTGTATAAGAGACCAGAACAATTTGTCATAAAATGAAAGCGTTGGTGCTCTTTTTCTGCACAGTTCTCCATTTCTGTAGGGAGTTGTGCTGAAAATGTCTCTCTGAGTTTGGCAACCCGACTTAGTGTTACATGGAAAGATAACCAGCCGTGAACACTTCAGATGTCATCACCAAGGATGGAGCTCATCTTGCCTTAGACCACACACCTGGTTTTAGCTTCTAATGTAGCTGTTTTAAGGAGAGGAGTATCTCCAGAGAGGGATTTATTTTCCTTATCCTGGATACCTATTCTAAAATGAGATATACGTATAAACACGTGTACTGAAATTCTTAATCCTAGGCTGAGTGTCTTTTGTATTCCCTACGGTTAGGAGATTCTGCGAAGAATGGGGATGCATCTCCCTAATTCATTAATGAGTTTGGTTAGATCCTCTTTCAGCAATATTCTAGTAAGGTTTATGAGTCAAAATGCAATCTGGAAAATAGTATTGCATGTAGAAATCTGCATTGGTGAAAAGTAAATACTCAGTCCTCAAGACTGAGTCAAGAAAGACCAGTTAATCAGGAAGTTCTTCAGGGATTACTCCCATATATTTTTCTTTCTGTTTGAAATCCTGTTTAATGATATGTTTGGTATGTTTTTCCTCCTTTTAAAATTAGGTACTCAAAGTTATCATATACTTTTTTAGTTTATACTAGAGAGGAACCTGAAAGTAATGCTAATTATCGCAAAACATCTCCAGATGCTACTTCTAATACTTTTGTTGCATCGACCTAGTTTCCATTTTTGTTGCACCAACCCAGTTTTTCCATTTCCATGTCTTACTGGACATGGTGGAGCAGCTGATCCCTGCAAGTGAACTAGAAGCTAACAAAAACACAGTAGCATATGTAGAGCAATCCTCTGCAATTCTTTCTTTTTTTCCTCTGTAGAAGGAAAGGAGAGAAATACCTGGAGAGATAGAGACAAGACGAACATTCAGAAAATAAAAAGAGACCGGAAAGTAAAATATGTTTATTCCAGGAAATGTGTGTCGTTACATAACATAGCTTATCTGTGTTGACGATGATGCAGGGGAAGCCTTGCAGGCGACAGGGAGTTTTGTGGCAAATACTGAACTGCGGGAGAAGTCGTGCTCCATGGAGAACATTGCAGAGCGCTGCGTAGGGATCTCGCCTTCGGTGGCCCTCGAAAACGTACAGCACTTCAATGCAAAATGCTTATGTATGCTGCTGGAGAATGTCAGTGGCTTAATAGCTCATGATGACTTCCGTGTGGAAATGATACCTGAAATAAATGCTGCTGTGGCCACCTTCACAGAAAGTACTGGTAAGACAGAATGAGCACGTCAGTTATTGCCATGTATGTGTATGAATAACAGTTTTCAGAGCTCGAGTCTGCTCCCATTAGAGATTCGAACAGTAAAAAAAAAAAAAAAAAAAAAAAATTAAGTGTACCTGGACTGTAGTCTCTCAGTAAAAATGCAAGTCTTATTTTATACCGTTTCCTGAAAACGTCTGTCTGACCCAAACGTTACAGTGAAAAAAAGATAATTGTGCCATCTTCATGACTGAAATTGGACAACAATGTTTCATTGCCTTTACCTTATTTTGGGATCAATAAAGAAGAATTAGAAGCAGGCTGAGTATGGAAATGGACTGTGCGAATCCCTAAAGCAAATGAGGTCTCCATTTGACAAGACAGAAAAATGACAAGAAGTACTTGTTTATACCAGAGTGGAACGGGGCAGGGGACCAGGCAGAGGCATAGAGGTGGTGAACAGCACAGAGGAACGTGGCTGCTCCCATTTTCCCCTCTTTTATTATAACACAGAGGAAAATTTACTCGGCAGCAAAGACAGTTTAGCTCCAAATACAGAGAGAAGCAGACTCAGCTCATGTCTATGCCATAAGCCATAGCCAGGACTGATAATCATGCAGAAAACATACTCAGTTACTACTGCTTTTCTGTTTGCAGATGCTGAAGAATTTGTCAAAAAATGTGCAGAAAACAAGAGAATTAAGAAATTTAAAATTACCGCCAGGCTTCTTGAAGTGACCCACAGCATCAAGGCTGAAAACATACCAGCTAGCGTTTCTATGGACTATATCACTGTTTATTTTGAGAGCACGCGCAACGGAGGTGGGCCCGTGTCGGACATCCAGCTCCTGCCTGAGGAGCACTCGGCCATCATTACTTTCTGTGATCCCAAAGGTAATGCTGCCTCGCTCTGTTGCCTGACCTGAACAGGCTGCTCCCAGGCAGAGGGCCTGGAAGAAAATGACGGAAATGCCCAGCGTGCACCGCCCTGTGCCTGAGAAGGGCTCTGCCCTTCTGCAGCTTCTGCTCAGCACCTGGCCTTCAGCATCACCTGCTGGTTCGAGCATCTTTCTGAGCTTGTCCCAGTGGACAAGTTTTGACTAAGCGTTAAGTAGGCTCTGACTAAGATCTTAGGATTTAGAGGTATTGCTATGTGTCTAGGATTTCAGCACCTCTCCGTCTAGGGCATGCAGTTCTCTGCTACCAATGGTTCATTTTAAGACCTGCTTTACAAGTGGGTTGTTGCTGCTGATGGTGTTCCCCCTTCACAGAAGTTTTTATCTGTGATCTGATGTTACAGCTTAGTTGTATTTGGGGGCAGAGGTAGCAGGATCTGTTAATGGCTTTGGCTTTGATAGCTAGCTTCCAAAAACTAACTGAAGTCAAATTTCTTCAGTATCTGGGAGGGATACAGCTAAATAACAATCTTATTATTATTGTAAGTTTGGAGTCTCTGCCCCGTTTTGAAGTCAGGACAACCTCCAGCAAATATCTCTTGTATTTGGAGACTCATGGCTTAATAAATTCCATTACTTTTAATTAAAGATATCTGCCAGGTGACTGTTTCTCTTCTCCTAACACACCCGTCTTATTTGCTTAAGAATATTTTGGGCATTAAGTTCTTACATAATTTGGCTCATTGTAATGTGTTTTTAAGTGCCTGTCAACTGTATTATTACTTTCCTTTGCCCATCCCAGTTGAAATGGCACAGAAAACATTTAAAAGAATGCACTAGAACCTCAAGTTCTGCTTTAAGTTGAGAATAAGAAACATTTCATACTTAAAAACTTCATATGGCCCTGCACTAGGCCAGTGTTTCCTTAGGAAATGAGAGCAAGCTAAAGCTGTACAGGTAAATACGGCTACAAGCACACTTACCAAACTAGCTGGAGTCAAGCCTCCCATCTTGTCCCCCACAGAGTGGCTGGGAAACGACAAGGACATAAAAATAGCTCTTTCAAATGTAAAACCAAGTTATTTTATTCAATGTAATAATTCTAAGAACAAATGCATTTGCTTGATTTGAAGCTAATGATACGTGTGTGTGTGTGTGTATACATATATACATGTGTGTGTATATATATATATATGTAGATATCTATGTTTTAAATTTTAGATATAAGCACTATCTTGGAAAAGCAGCATTTACTTGAACGGACGCCAATTTCTGTGCATCCATATTACCATTCCCTGGGAACAGCTCTCTATGGAGAGGAAAGACCAACTGTCAAGATGCCGGACCCCATTGGGGTGCCACTAGATCCATATATCTGGCGGTTTTTACAAAGGCGGGATAAACTGATCCAAGAAATAAACCAGGAAATGGCAGTTTGCCATTGTGATCTGAAATGGCCGCAGACCGATTGTGCACAACCGGAGATTATGTTGTGTCCCTCATCCTCCCTCTCTGAGCAGAAAAAGCTGATGACTCAGTTGATCAAAACATGGAAGCAAGATGCTTCTGCAGAGCTCTCACGCATCATGTCCCGGTACACAGCCATCAAGTGTCAAGTAAATTCAGCGGATTGGGAAGATGTGAAAGCCAGACTGGTGAAAGATGTTGCTTTGATTGTAATGGATGCCTCTGAGGAGATGGTGGTGATAGCTGGCAACAGAGCAGCTGTGGACAGTGCAGAGAAAGAAGTGAGGGAATGCATGGAAAAAGCCATGAAAAAAAGTGAAAGGCAAAAACAGAGTATAGAAATTTCTGTATCAGTGATGTCAGGGAAGTATGCAGTTTTGCACAATGCTGGGCTGGAAGAGAATATTTACAAAGAATATCCATGCTTAAAGATCTTTTATGATGATACAAAAAAAACTATTCAGTTGTGTGGATTACCTGCAGAAGTGTATAAAGTCAAAGCTGACTTACTGGAAAAGGTACTGAACATGCCATACAAATCAGTTAACGTTGCTCCCCATGTTTTCCATTATCTACAACGTGTAGATAATAAAACAATGTCAGAGAGATTATTTACTTTGAAAAAAATTAAGGCTTTTTATGAGCTTGAGGATGATACTGTAGTGCTGTTTGGAGACTCTCCTAAAGATCTTCTAGATGCAGAAAAGCAAATAAAGACAGATTTAGACTACAAGTGCATTGATCTGGAGGACTCTGAAGTCATTAAAAAGCAAGATTGGAGAAGTCTCGTTGTCTTCTCGTGTAAGAAGTACAATTTTTCCCAGAAAACTGTAGTAATTGATGAACCTGCTGGAAAAGAAAATAAAGTGATCATTACCGGCTTTTCTAAAGCCGTAGCAGAAGTTTATCAGAACATGTTTGATTTTATAGATAGAAACACTCACATGGAAAAAGTAATCCCAGCTAAGTCAGTGGCAGTAGTGCAGTTCGTAGAGGAGGAAAAATCCAGTGTTTGTCTTGAACTGGGGAAGAAAGGTGTGACAGTATGTTTTGGCACCAAGGCACCATCTATTTCTCTGAGCGGACCAAGAGCAGAAGTGTCAAAGGCAGTCACCATATTTGAGCAAATTCTCTCCTCGCTGCACTGTGAAAATAGGGTAATTGATAAACCAGGAGCCAAAGAGTTTTTCACAGAGAGGAAAGATCTGTATGTTTTGGAGGCAAAGCAGAAATACAACTGTTTGATTAGGCTAGAAGTAGAACAAGAACAAACGAGTGAAAAAGTCGATAATAAAGAGAAAAGAGAGCTCCACTACAAGGAAACCCTGAAAGGTGGAGTTGTAATAGCGGTTTATAAAGGTGACTTGTATAATTATCCAGTGGATGTTGTGGTAAACATATTGAATGAAGATTCAAAACCTGTTGGTGGCCTTGCTGGGGCACTTCTACAAGCGGCTGGTCCAGACCTGCAAAGAGAGTATGAGCAGCTTCTGGAGAAGCACAAGTGCTTGAAGCCTGGATGTGCCATCATCACCGGCGCGGGGAAGCTCCCCTGCAAGCACGTGATTCATGCTGTTGGGCCCAGGTGGAGGAAAAAAGAGATAGGAAAATGTTTGCTCTTGGTAAGAAAGACAGTGAATAAATGTCTGCAGCTCGCCAAAACGTATAATCATCGCTCCATAGCTCTTCCCTGTATAAACCCTGGGATTTTTGGCTTCCCGCTGCAACTGTGTGCACATTCAATTGTATCGTCCATCAAGAAAACCTTGGCAGAATCCACAGGGGACAGCAGCTTGAAGGAAGTTCATCTTGTGGACAATGCAGACAAAACAGTTCAAGTTCTGAGTGAGACAGTAAAACAAGTGTTTACTGCTAAATCATCCTCCCAGACATCGCTGTCCCAGCCCTCTGAAAGCCAGAGCCCAAAGGAAACCCAGAAAGCCAAGAGAAAAGAGGATCTGCAGATGGTTACAACAAATGAAGGACTGTGCATCAGACTGGAGAAAAGAAATATCCAGGATGCCACGGTAGGCCTTCAACTTTCCAGGTCCTCTCTAACTTCATGTGATTGAAATTTAAGTAGACAATGAAGGATAGTAGGTTAAACTGTTTTACAAGATGGTTGCAACATAAAGAAACATAGGTTCTGTGCTAGCTAAGCAAGGAAGCAAAACTGAAAGGCTGATATCCAGATGGCATATTGGGATCTGTCATTCTGGAGTCCTTTCTAGTGGACAGCCATGAATCAAGTCAAGCTCTTTAGTTCCTACTTGTATTTTATTTGTCCCGGTCGAGGGTAAATGTGTAAAACATTTTCCTTTTTTTTTTTTTTTTGTTTTAAGCGATGTATTTATGTGATCTAGGTATCTAGGTTGGATATGGAGGGAAATCGGAACCCACCTGGGCCATTGAGAGTCATGCTAATGGAGGATATAGCATATTTTTTACCTTCCTTCTCTTTGGATGGGTTATTGACATCATTGTTGTAGATATTACTGGGCTTTAGAAAAGCAACTCCACAGAAGAGGGCATGCCTAGCTTACTTTGATGAAGTCTAGACCTGATTCTGCTTTGATTTTTTTTTCTTTTTCTTTTTTCATTCTTTTTGCTAATGAAGTATTTTGCTGCTCCATCAAGACTCAGTTTACACCTCCAATTTTGTTTGTTTCTGTCACGATGTTTTCTTTACTGTAGTGATATGAAATGTATCGTGATAATTCTCTCTCTTTCAATTGATTTTTATAGTTGGGGAATTTAAAATCTTCTCCGTATCTCATCGCAGCTCCTTCCTGAAGTTGTTATTATTGTCCTGTTGTTTCAATATTAGTTGCTTTTCTTGTCATTTTGGTGTTTGTAAAGGCCTATTCCAACAGAAGAGCAATTTTCAGATGGAGGAAAGCTCAGCGTGACACTTGTCTTTAAAACAGCTCCCTATTTAGTGCGATAGCGGAACTGCAAAGCAAACAGTAGACTTGGGAGCTTTGCCCATTTTACTGCATGAAAGCACAGCAATCTTCACCTCTGTTTGCTGTGCAAGATGCTGCATTTCTGGTAAGGTGTATACAGCCCCACTTCAGTAAAAGGGAGGAAGGGAGCATTATACTTTATACATTACATGTACCTTATACGGTGCATATATTTTATACATATCCACCATTATCTCATGATGATGCTAGAGAAGACGGAGCAATACAACAGCAGTCCTTCACAGGGAAACGTAGACAAGGCTCGGGTGTGGGAAGCGAGGACAAAGCGGACTGCAGAGGCTGCATTCATTTCAACAGCTCCGTGTTTGCCGGGCACGGGCGACCTGCTCGAGTGCAGGACCTGCGTTGTGGATACGGCGGATGCGATGCCTCCTTCTGTGGGCTTCTGGCAAGTCCAGGAATTCTCAGTGTGCAGAATCTGTGCTGAAAACTGGGTCATTTCTCCATTGGCATCCTGTTGTTCTTACTGCATTTTGCTTTGATAGTCCTGGTGCATATTTTTACTTAAAATCTGGCTATAGATATTTTTCTTGTAATTTTGTTTCAGACGGATGTTATTGTCAACAGCGTTGGCCTGGATCTGCAGCTTGGCGTGGGACCTCTTTGCAAAGCCTTGCTGGAAAAGGCTGGACCGGGACTCCAGTTAGAGTTTGACAGGGAAAAGCAAGGACAGGTAGCTGGTCAAGGGACCGTGCTCTGCACTGGTGGATGTAATCTGTCCTGCAAGTCCGTGCTTCATGCTGTTCTTCCTGGGTGGGACAGAGGAAAAGGACAGGCTCTGAAGGTAGATTTTAATTATTTGAAAAGTCTTTGATTTTGAAAACTGATTTACTCTGAAGTTTCAGATTTAAAAATAGTAAATTTAGATGACTCAGCTCCATTTGCTCCTGTTTGAGTGACTTTCAAGATGTCTTGATGTGTGGGTGCCGCTGAGGGCTTTTCTCATACCAGTGTAGTCTCTATGGAATTAATAATAAATAATATAATATTCAAAAAGAAAACAAGGCACCTTTGCTGTCTTTTACAGACCCTAGAAGACATAGTCAATTGCTGCCTGCAGAAGACTGAAGCACTTGCACTGAATTCGATCACTTTCCCAGCAATTGGAACTGGAGGATTTGGATTTCCGAAATCCACCGTCGCTAAATTAATGTTCGATGTAGTGTTCAAGTTCAGTAGCAGTCACGCTCCGAAGACCCTTCGGGAAGTTCACTTTCTCTTGCACCCGAATGATACCGATAACATTCAGGTAGTTCTTCTCAGGGTAAAGCCATCCATGTGAAGCGCTATTTCAGTTATGCCTTACCAATATATTTTAGTTATATTGCTTTCTTAAGGAATACTTTAGCGCTTTCATACTGCGTTAGGTCAGTGAAAGCAGGCTGTCTCTCCAGTGTTTCATTGCCTCACCTGGGCACCTTTTTTCTCATCCTAGGCATTTACCAGTGAACTAGACTATAGGGTAGCTGAGAATCGCAGTGTTGCAGCACCACAGCAAAGTAAGTTTTCCAGGGGTGGGAGGGGGGACCCGGGGGAAAAGGTAAATATTTTAAAGCAATTTTATGCACACGCAGGTGACAGATGAAACGTCACCAAGACACGTTTTTTTTTTTCCTCCCAATGGACTGACATTCTTAAAAAAAATCTTAAAGGAGAAATTACATTATTGAGGGCATGCTCACCTCTTAGTGAGGCCAGTCATATTAGGCAGAAGAGGATAGATATCCTGATGGGATACCTTACAAAGCGGTGGCAGGGGGGAGGAATCTCCATTACTGTTATTACTTAAATTGAAGTTGGATATTCTGTTTCATGTGGAGGTTAATTCAGGAAAGGCTGTTAACGCAGATGGTCCGATTGGATAACCACAACAGTCCTGTCTGAATTTGTAATACTTGAATCTACAGGAATAGAAATGGTTTCACTTTCACAGTACTTAAACAGGACGGAGTACTTGCCTGCTTTCAGCGATGGTGTAAAGAGAAGTAGGCAGAGGCTCTCTAGATGCTGTCAAGTTGGTTTCACATTCCTCAAAAGGATTTGTTAAATTTAGCTGGCCGCTATTTATCTAATGTATAAAGTTTCCATAAATGGAAGAGAATAATAGCCAAAACTAGAACAGGACTGTTTTAAGGTATTTGTTCTTTTCCTTGCAGCTTTCATTGGGCCTGTTAGGACTAACGTGTTGGGAGTTCATGAAATGCAGATTGGTTCTATTACACTCCAAGTAATTATTGGAGATATTACTAAGGAAGACACAGACGTTATTGTAAACATATCAAATCCAACATTTCATGCCACATCAGGTATTGCATTGAATATATAGTTCTTTAATGGTAAATTTGTGCTAGCTTTTAGAAAGGAGAAGGGAAAGAATTGTCTGTATATGCAACTTTTTATGAAGTATTTTTCAGATAAGAGAGTGAGTGGGAGTGGTGATTTGTGAGATAATAGACCTCAAGCCATCTAGGGTTTTATATATGCCCCGAATATTCCATTTCATTAACCAAACTACTCAAACAGAAGACACCTGACCAGATTTTTGTTGCTTAAAAATAAAAACTCTTAACTAAAAGGGAACTTTTAGATCAAATATAACGCCATAAAAATGCTGTGGCCCTAAGGTATCCCTCTGTTAGCCAAAGCCCCGATTAAGAAAATTGACCCGTAAGAAGCTGAAAATTCTTCGGCGACAGTGTGAATTGTAAGAATGAAGGACAGCAAATGATACAACTGCAAGCAACCAGAGAGTTTGGTGAGGAGCATGCTCTTGCTGGTGGAGTGATGCAATTGGAGTTATTCTTCATGATTTCTGATCAATAATGAAGGCAGTGCTCTCCTCGCAGCTCGTACAGTCCGTCACGGAGGGCATGTAGCTGGCAAGGTTTTATACTCTGCAGGAATTTGGGGTGTTCATAGACTATAGAATTTGGATAAAGTTTTGAGTAGAGATAGCTAAGGTGACTTATTAAATGTGTATGCTTTTCCTTGTCTCATTTAAGGGGTTTTCAAAGCAATTATGGATGCTGCTGGTTCCCAGGTAGAAGGAGAATGTGCTCAGTATGGTACGTCACAGCATCCTATTTAATTTGATTAGATTTTTCTGAAGATTAAACCTAATGTTGTTATTATGATTCTCTACTCTGATAGTATAATTACTGTATCAGAAAAAATAGCTTTCACTTTAAGGAATTTCGAAAAATCCTGTTGTCATGACACCCACTTTGAGAATTTCTACTCTCACAACTGAGTAGAAGTTGGGTACAGTTTTCTGATGCTAATGAGTGCTTGGAAATTATTGTAATTTTAGGTCTTGACCCCTGAGATTACTCAAGCATGTGCCTGACAGAAGTAGTCCAATTGACTTTAGCATAATTTTTCAGCTTACCTATTGTCAGCTATGGGGCAACTGAAGTTTTAAGACTAATGCCAATACTGAGGAAAAGTGGGATGTTTTCTGTTGGCCTGTGCATGACTTCCTAAGTTTCTTAAGAGCTAATAGGCAGTCCGGTCTTGTATTCACAGAGGCACAATTATTTTTAATTGAAATAACATAATTTTATTACCCTGATGAGTTTTTTCTGTAGTCTCTGCATTTGGCCAGACTACTACAGTAGTTAAATCATTGCTCATTGTGGGTGACCCCCAGGAGCACAAGGAGGAGAAGGAGGTTCTGGTCTGCAAAAACAAAATGTTGCTCCTCTGCGTCCAGGAATTAGCTTTCAAGAAGGAGTTTCTTGGGCATTTTTCTCCACTTTGGCTCTGCAATCTCTCCCTTCTTATAGCCTGGTCTCAGCACATACAGAGCATCCCTCAGTCAGTCATTACTTTTGTGACCAGTGAAGTGATTTCTATATTCATGAGTCCATCTGTCCTCACAAAATGACTCAATTTTTAGTTGCTTATAATCAAACACAAGTGCTCTGAAAAATGCAAAAGTCTTTTTAAAGATTCCTTGCCACAGTTCTTAGGTGAGTTGGTCATTATCTTAATGACATTATTTTAACTGTTCAGCTCTTCTGCAGAATAATCATTTGAGGCTTTAAGGTACAGGTGGCACAAGAAAGTATTTCTCCTATAAATGAATTGTCCATGTTCCATTGGCATGCTTTTAAATAACTGAGCTCGACAAAGTAAAAGTGTTTCAATTGAGCATAAATTGATATGTTGTACTCAAAAGGAACCTATTTCTTAACAGAGGTCCCAGATGTGTTTACCCTAACACAGAAAATTACAGTCAAGCAGAAAATACAGGCACTTGAGTTACTGTCTCAAAGAAATTCTGAAATCAAAAGATTTGCAGAGGAAACCTGAATCAACTAAAACCAAGATAACAGAGCACACAGTGGCTTTCTCTTCACTTTTTTCACCCATCCACTCTGTATTACTCCAGTGGACGCTAGTATCAATATAAGCAGCTGTGTTATCAGAAGGGGTGGCCACTTTGAAAAGGTTGTGTCTCCTTCTTATCTTCTCTCTTCCAGCTGGGCAGCTTCAAAGTGGCTTTGTTACTACACAAGGTGGAAAGCTGCTGTGCAGTAAAATCATCCACTTGATTCACAGTGCGGATGTGAAGAATCAGGTCGCCAAAGTGCTTCAGGAGTGTGAGCTTCGGATGTACACGTCCGTGGCCTTCCCAGCAATTGGAACAGGTTTGCATTTTCCTGGGAGAACGATTAGGGTTGTGATGGGGGTATTTCAGAAACTGAGACAATATTAACGCCTGCAATAGGGATAACAGATTTGTAGAAGAAACTGCATAAACTGTGACTTGTGAAAGTTCACTGGGATCAGTTCAAACACTACCAGCGCAGTGATACCAGTCTGTGTGAACTGGGATGTGCTGTTTTCTGGATGTTGCCTCGATTCAAATATTGTTCACTGACAGATGCGTGCTTTGTATTTTTGTTTAGGTCAGGCAGGACAGAGTCCAGCAAAGGTAGCTGATAATATGCTGGACGCTATAGTTGAGTTTGCAAGCAAAAAAGCAGTACAGCATTTGAAAACGATTAAAATAGTCATCTTCCAGACAAAGATGATCAGTGATTTTTATGCAAGCATGAAGAAAAGACAAGAGTTAGATGTCCATGATTCTGATACGGATGACTCTAAGTTCACATGTAAGTAGGTGAGCTTTCCATGTGCATGGGCACATAAAACTCAAAATTAGTTTTAAATAAAACTAATTATTACCATGTACTTCGTTACAGCATTTTTGTTGAGCAAAAATCAGTCCACTGAGAAGAAACAACCCTTGGTTTTGGAGAAGAAAGTTGAGTTAGTCACATTCCAGATTTGTGGAGAAAGTCAAAAAAACGTGGATGATGCTGCAACCTGGATAATGAATTTGATTTTAAAGGAACAGTGTGAAAACGTTATTTCAGATGAGCTAATTGAAAGTTTTGATCAGAGACAGATGAAGACTCTGGCAGATCTTCAGAGAACAAAACACGTTACCATTCAGCTTGAAATCAACCAGTCTTCCCCGCACATTAAAATTTCTGGTATTAGCCGCGATGTCTATTCTGTTTCTGTGGAAGTTCAAAATATGATCCAAAAACTCAAGGATACTCAGGAAGAACAATCTAAGGCAGAACTTGTTTATAACCTAGTCGAATGGAGGTATCCAGGAAGCAATGATACTTTTGTAGCTTTTGATAAGCTGACAAATATGCAGCTGGAAGATGCCAAAATAGCTAAAAAAACACATGTTACTGTCAAAATTAAGAATAAGGATTACAAAGTGGATCTGAACACTCTACACGCTAATGATGATCAAGGAACAACTATAAGGATTCAACGTGTGCCAAAGAATGAAGGTAAATTATGGCTTTGTTAATCAAAAAATGTGATGATGATTAGCGAATGATAATTCCGATAAATACAAACTTAGGTATTCCAAAGAAGTAAAGCTATTCCACAACTTTTTTTACTGTTTCTTTTTCTTTTTGCCAAGCATGCCACAGCCAGCAGTCTTTAGTTTCATAATTAGGGGCAGGTATGACCAAACCCAGAACTTCATTTTTAAATACAAAACTCATCCATGCCTATGTGACTCGTGAGCACAGATTTCATGCGTAAGTCTGACAAAGGAAGGAAGCGGGGTAGCAAATAATGAGCACAATTCTTCTGTGGTTCTAAAACTTGTTTTAGCTGAGTTTTAGTACTGGGATGATCAGACGAGTGGCAAAATGTAAAATCTTATCAGTGCATGACAGAATTTGTGATTTATTGAAGTGAGAAAATATTATCGGAAAAAAATTATTGCATAAGGTATTGTCCCCTTAGCACTCTGTATCCAGTCCGTTGGGAAGAGCTGTGCCTGTAAAACCAAGCTAGCTGTCTGGAAGAATAATCCCACCCTTGTGTTGCAGAGAAGGAGTAGAGAGAGCTGCCCACCAAGTGGGAAGACATGAAGGAGGAGCGGGTCAGGGTGGTGAACCTCCCGCCGGCGAGTCAGGAGTATCTGGATGTTAAGAAGGCGTTTCAGAAAACCTGTCCCAGCCACACCATAGAGAAGGTGAAGTCATACGACAAAAGTGAACTCTTTGGCTGAAAATGTCGACAGACGCTCTGCGTACTTGTTTGTAAAGTGTCTGCAACCTAATATACCTTCCACGTGGCAACCTCCCCAGCACTGCACAGTGCGGGTATAAACCAAATCGAATTTTCTACGGCTTGCATTGGCGTTTCTTCCTTGCCAGTAATGCAAAGCCAGTGGCTGCCAGGCCTCAGGCCGAGTTTGCGTTCAACGCATTCGGTACTCAGGATTTCCACTTAGGAAGTTCTGTACTGAAAAGGATTTAGAGATGGAAGCAGTGGTCAGGTCCGCTCCCTGCTGGGAGCTCTCTGCAGCCCTGGCCTCACAGGCTGGCCGTGAAGCTCTTTTACTGTTTCAGCACAGTGTTTCCAGGCTAGGTGTCGGTTTTAACCAAAATGTTGGCAGTTGCTTCTGTTTGTTGAAAAGTCTGCAAAGCGCTGTACAGAAAGATAATTGCCAAGGAGAACGTGGAATTATTTAGAAGCAAGGAGGGGCAATAAATATGTGAAAATAAGGTAGAAATAAGAGTGGAAACGTATTTGGAAAATTTTCTCCTATGATGAGACTCGCTGAGTGTGGTCACTAAGACATGAATAGAGGAAAATACTAGTGCAGAACGGGAAAGATCACGTAATGACATAATGTCTTTTCCGTTGAAAATGTAAAGCTCTGAGTCCTTTTTCTGCTGAAAATGGAAAGCTATTACAGCAATGCCTTTAAGATTATACTTTGATGCAAATATACTGTATTTCCCCCAAGCTATATTCAGATTGTTCGCATAAGGAGCCAGCAGCATCTGTCCTCCTACCAATTTATTTTTATATAGCAGTTTCTCACGGGCTGCTAAGCTACACAGTGAAGGGGTAATTTTGACTTTCAAGCTAAGATATAGAAGAGAAACATTAAACATAATGCTACAGTCTAGCCTTTAGTGGGAAAGTCATCAGTAAAGATGATTAGGCTGCACAGAATAGCCATAGGGCAACAGCATTTTTGCAAAAACACCGGTGCATAGCTGCCATAATTGCCTATGTACCTGGTATATTAGGTAAGGCAGATGTATGACAAAAATTACCAAGGTCGAAAACATTTTTGTAAGCTAATACTTTGGTGTCTAATTTTGAAGAGGCTCAAATGCCCATTTTCACAACCCGAACCCCATGCTAACAGGGCAGAGTGGTAACTACTCTCATTCATTAAGCTTGGTTTTGTTTTAATGGTTTGCTGTCCTGATAAATACAGGTCCCTACCAGTATAAATACAGCTCTACTTTCTAACTTTGCAGATTGAAAGAATACAAAATCCCTTCCTCTGGCAGACCTACCAACTCAAAAAGAGATCTCTGGACATAAAGAACAAAAATCAGAATAATGAGAAGTTGCTGTTTCACGGGACAGCAGGATCCTCATTGAGCACCATCAATTACAATGGATTTAATCGTGGCTTTGCTGGAAAAAATGGTGAGTCGTGACCCAACGCAGGTAACTTCTCAAACACGTGTCTGATATTTAAGGGGATAACAGCATTGTAGTACTCTAGACACAACATGAGGGTTGAATAAAGTTGGAGAACAAAATAAGAGGCAACTCTAGAGCGTAACCTGCATGGACAGAGGCATTAACCTGATCCATGGCCTCTTTTTTATGAACCCGATCATCGAGAAGGTCTCGGAGAAAGCTCGTCTGCTCTGAAAGCAAACCCGAGTGGCCTTCAAGAAATGCTTGCTGGTACCTGCAAACAGAAGGGCACCAGGGCTGCTGCTCTGCATCCTCCTGTCTTGGGCAAAGCCAGCTGATGAGGTAGCAGTGCAGAGACTTCTCCTTCTGCCTCCAAAGATAAGGACAACACGAGCAATCGGAAGATCCCATTCCACTCACTTTTTTTTTTTTTTTTACAGATTAAATCCATTTAAATTAATTAATTATTCCTTCCCCTTTAATAGTTGTGGGGGACAACTGTTAAACATTTAGCAGAAAGACTTTTTGTGTTAGTTCAAAGATTGTTTTTTTGGCTTTGTGTTTTTTTCCCCCCAGTTCCTCTAGCACGGTCATGCAATGGTTGAGTGTGAGGTCACATTCAACGTTGAGGAACAGGATCCAAACAGGTGGAATTTGTCCAGAATTTAGGTGCTGGTTGCTCTTGGAAGTCCTGCCACCTTACCCCAAAAGCACTTGCTTTTTGTCCGTAAGGGTTTCTGCCTTCAGGTATCTTTGTACACGCGTAGGACTGACTTCATCGTGAGAGAGCGGACAGCTTAATTCAAATCTAATGGACACTTTAGCCTGAGCTAGATCCAATCTGTCTCAAAGAACCGTGACTCCTCCAACTTATGACTGTGAAGTGTAACTGGAAAACTGTAATTACAATTACGTAGCCATTTTAAGATGAAAAGACTGCTGAAAATTTGAGGTTTAGTCGGTAGAAAATTGCACGAGGCTAAACAGAGAGAAGAGCCTTTTTCTCTGTAGGAAAGAAAACCTGGGCGATGACAGCTCAGCTCGTCTGTACCTGACACCCAAGTAGATTGAGGCTGGATTCTGGTCCAAACGATTATTTCTGGTCCAAAAGATGAATGAAAAAAAAAAAGGGGGGGGGGGGAGGGAGGAGCTTTAGGGATGCTTCAGCGAACGCGAACGCTAACTCTGTTTGGAAATGTTGTCTTTCCAAACAGCTGCCGCGATTGGAAACGGAACCTACTTTGCCGTTGGGGCGAATTATTCTGCTCAGGATACTTATTCCAGACCGGATACGAATGGCAAAAAGCACATGTACTTGGCTCGGGTCCTCACCGGGCAATACTGCGCTGGGAGCGCAGGACTGATTACTCCCCCACCAAAAAACGCAGCAGATCCCACCGACCTGTACGACAGCGTGGTCGATAATGTGAATCTTCCAACAATGTTTGTCATATTCAACGACATTCAGGCCTACCCAGAGTACCTGATTACTTTCAGGACCTAGAATATTTTTAATATAAAGTGCCAAGGGGCTGCCTGCGAGGGCTTACTTAAAACACTTGCTCTCCGAGGCAGTAACCTTGCTCTCCGGGGCAGTTTTCTCAGGGCTCCACGGACCTTTGTAGCCGGCAGGAGTCCCAAAGGGCCTCTGCGAGCGTTGTCTCAGCCCTGCCCCGTGCCGTCGGGGCGCGCGCGGTGAGCTCCGGGGTACAAATTCCTCAATTTAGAGCCGTTCCTTAGGGGCGTTTGGCGCAGTTCCCTGCCTCACGGGAATCAGATCTTCTGCCTGCGGGATCTGGGCTTCTGGAATTTTAAATTTAAGATTAAAAAAAAAAACAAACACCCACCACAACCTCTGCTTTCTTCCAGACGGCATTGCAGCATTAACCATTAAATCGGGTGGAACTGCCCAGAGGAGCCTATGGGCCGTTCTGGGTTAGCAAGCTCAGTTAAACACTGCGAATGTTGTAAGTTCTGTGAAAAACCAGCATCTACCCGGCTGAAACGTATCTTTACAAGCGGGCCGCACCACCACAGCCATAACTTCTTGCCCCGCCCACTGAAAGCCGTTTGGATCCGGTTTTAATTTAAAAAAAAAAAA